TTCTTCAAAAATAGAAGTCTAAAAATTCTATGATAACCGCCTAGCTCGTTAATTCCATGACACCGTCAATAGGTAAAACTTACCTATTCTTGCCGACGACGAAAGAAGTATGGGACACAATAAAAGATAGAAATTTAGATGGAGAAAACGCCTCACTAATATTCAAGTTAAAGACTTGATTATGGCAAACCAAACAAGGGGAAAGAGAAGTAACTAACTATTACTTGGAGATGACGAATCTGTGGCAGTAACTTGATCTCAGCCTCGAGGAGAAATGGGAATGCCCTGGCGACAGCGTACGTTACAAGAAAAGAGTTGAGAATGAATGGGGTTTTGAATTTCTGGCCAGCCTCTCAACCACGATCTGGATGATGTCAAGGGTGAATCTTAAGCTGGCAACCACTACCAACTACACGAAGTATTTGCAGAAGTACAAAGGGAAGAATACCGTCGGAAAATCATGATGAAGACCAGAGAAGATGAAGGTGGTGGAATCGGGGATGCTATCGACGCGGAATTGGAAAATCAAGCAATGGGCCAGCTATTGTAATTGGGCCAAATGGGTTTAATTCTAGTATAAAGAGTGGACGGGCTGAAAAATTGTATAATGGACTAGGTGAACCTGCATGCATACTAGGGCCCACTGGACATGGTACTGGGCCTCGAATGAATGGATTTTTTTCAAATGGACCAAAACAAGGAAGGGGACGGCCTTGGTGTGAACATTGCTGTAAACCAAAACACAAGGAAAATACATGTTGGGATATATACAGGAACTGATTGGAAGCCAAGGCAAAATACTAGAAATCGAGGCTATCAAACATCAATTAATCCTACTGAAAATTCTAAAGAAAATAATTCTATTGCAGGTCGTGCATTTAATCATAAACAATTGGAACTACTTTATCAAATTTTTTCCAATCTTTAAACTTCCGGTCAACCTTCCAGAGGACCCTTGAAGCTCACTAGCTCACAAAGGTAATCATTTGAGAGCCTTAACTACCTACTTAAAATATAAAATTCCTTAGATTATTGATTCAGGTGCGTCCGATCACTTGACAGACTCCTATCATCTTTTCTCCTCATACACAACTTGTGCCGGCAATACTAAGGTCAAAATTGCAAATGGGTCACTCTCAACTGTTGCAGGAAAAGAGAGTATCCAAATATCTGATTCTATAACACTACTCAATACTTCATGTTCCAAATTTGTCTTGTAATTTGTTATCCATTAGTCATCAGTTAACAAAAACCTCCAATTGCTCAGCTAAATTTTTTCCATTTCACTATGTTTTCAAGGACCTATCATCGGGAAAGATAATTGGCAGTGATAAAGAGTACGAGGGCATTTACTACTTTGAGGCGGCAGATTTAAGTAAGCCTAGTCAAATTGCAATTTGTGATTATGCATGTCTTTAGGGATAGTGAAATTTTATTATGGCATTACAGATGGGTCATCCCAATATGCAATATTTGAGACGTGTACTTCCGTCTATTTTTTCGAATAACACTTCCTTTCATTTTCAATATGAGATTTGTGAACCAGCAAAACACCAACATAGTACCTTTTCGAAATCCATGTACAAACCATCTAAATCATTCACTATAATTCACAGCGATTTATGGGGACCTTCACAAATCCCTAATCGCACTCACAAAAAATGGTTTGTTACATTTATCGATGATCATACTCGGGTTTGTTGGGTTTATATGCTAAAAGAAAAAAACTGATGTTCGTTCAGTATTCATCAACTTTCATTCAATGATTCAAACGCAATTCCAAACTCAAATTCACATCCTCCGCACAGATAACGACACCGGATACTTCAACTACATCTTACGTTACTACTTACAAAAAAATGGGATAGTCCACCAAAGTTCGTGTGTCAACACTCAACAAAATGGGATTGCTAAATGCAATAGACATCTCCTTGAAGTTTCCAAGCCTTAATATTCACTACAAATATACCAAAACAATACTGGGGAGACGCCATTCTAACCTCTACCTACCTTATCAACAGAATGCATAGCCGCACACTTGACTTTGAATCACTTCTCCAAAAATATCATAACTACTTCCCTACCTTGCGTCTATAATCTACCTCTCAAGGTGTTCGGCTGTATTGCATTTGTTCATATTCATTCTCACAATAGAAATAAACTAGACCATCGTGTCGTTAAATGTGTATTCATTGGATACTCAGCCACTCAAAAAGGCTATAAATGCTATGATCCATCCACAAAGAAGATATTTGTAAGTCTCGATGTCACATCCTTTGAAAGGATGCCTTATTTTCACCAGATTTCTCTTCAGGGGGAGAATTTGAGTGAAGATTGGTTCTTAAATTTTGATCTCTCTCTTCCAGAACATACCTCAAACACAGATTCCAATTCCATCACACCATTGAGTTCCAACATGCTATATATAGAACAAAACTTGAACCCAGGAGCAGATGCAGGAAAACAAAAGGACAAAGAGATACTAGTTTACTCAAGAAAGCAAAAACCAAAGGAGAGCCTCATACTTGAAGCACCAAGAGAATTGGAACAAATAATAGCTCCAGACTTCCATGAGTCTGAATCTCCTGATATCAATTTACCCATTGCACTTAGGAAACAAACTCGGTTATGTACTCTTCATCCCCATCTCAAAGTTCATATCATATAATGCTTTATCTACAAGATTTTGTACTTTTACATCTAACCTTGAAAGCACGGCTATTCCAAGAAATATTCAAGAAGCCTTAGAAGTTCCAAAGTGGAAAATGCAATAATGGAAGAAATGCAAGCTCTACAGAAAAATGAAACTCGAGATGTGATGAATCTACCGAAAGGAAACAGACCCGTATGGTACAAATGAGTGTTCAATGTGAAATATAAGGCTGATGGGACAATAGAAAGATACAAAGCTCGTCTTGTGGCAAAAGGATACATACAAACCTATGGTAGACTACACAAAAACAAATGCGATATTAGGAATGGAAGTTGCAAGGTCAAGAAAGGGTATTAGTGCTTCACAATGAAAAATACATTGATAACCTCCTATCTGAAACAGGCATGCTTGGATGTAAACCAAGTGACGGACCAATTGAGACAAGAAGAAATGCAGAAAATTTTGGAAACCAGTTGAGAAAGACATATATCAACGACTAGCTGTGAGGCTAATCTACGTATCTCATACTGGACCAAATATTGCATTTGCAGTAAATGTGGTAAGTCAACATGCATTCAAAGGAAACTCATTTGGAAGCAGTATATAAAATTCTCATGTATCTAAAAGGATCTTCAGGAAAGGGACTGTTCTTCAAGAAAAATAAGAGGAAGTAAAAATTTTCACTGATGCAGACTGGGCTGGTTCTACGGAAGATAGAAGATCAACTACGAGCTACTGCACCTATGTATGGGGCAACTTAGTAACTTGGAGAAGCAAGAAACAAAATGTAGTGGCAAAAAGCAATGCAGAAGCCGAGTTTAGAGCAGTGGCACAAGGAATCTGTGAAAGTCTGGTTAAATACACTTTTAGAAGAATTGCAAGTCACTGTAAAACTCCCAATCAAACTATATTGTGACAATAAAGCAGCAATCACATCTCTTTGAATCGAGTGGAACATGATCGAACCAAACAAGCAGAAGTGGACATACTTTGTCAAAGAAAAAGTTGAAGGTGGAGTGATTTGTATGACCTACGTCCCTACAAAGGAACAAACAGCAGATGTCTTCATCAAAGGACTACCTCGACAGAGTTTTGATAACTTCATTTGCAAGTCGGATATGGTCAACATTTACATCAAACTTAAGGGAAGTGTAAAAATCCGAATGAATTGAGGTGATTAGGGATTGATTTTAGAATAATTTATGTGTCATATTTAATTGTTTCCATAGTTAAGTAGGATAATTTATTTTTCCTAATTTATGGGATTGTTTTCCATCTATATTTCAATTCGGTTGTATATAAATACATGTACACAGGGATGAATACAATACGATTCACACAGAAATCGTGTGTTTCATTGTCTTCTACACAAGATACACATGTTAGTTGTAAATGATTGTATCTCTAAGATATGACAAGCAGCCGGGGTTATTAGGTTGTAAAAATAACGTTGAAAACTAAATAAATGTCTACTCTCAAGCGGCTTAAACTTTTATATGAGACAATTCAATATGATATTAAAGTCAGCAAATATCCTAATTAGGATTACCCCTTTACCCAACAAAGAAATTTTGAACATCTAACCCTTTGACTACAAGTGAGGAGGTGTGTTGAAGACATAATATAAATAAATTTGCCTAATGTCTAATAACTTAAATTTTTAGATGAGATGGTTCAATATATAGGATGCGAGTTTGGTTAACGGGATGGCATAATGATAGAAACTCATTGATCAAATGATTATTAACAAGTGACATATTAGTGAAACACAGAAAACACCTAAGAGAAACCAAAAATATAATTGATGTTTTAAAATTTGAGAACGATAATAAAAGAAAGACACGAAATGTGAGTGTTATGGAAACTTAAGGTCAGAAAAGACAATATAAAAGTTTGTTTCTAGTTAAGACTCCTCCAGGTTTCTTTACCGGTCACCAGGAATTAAGAACTTCGGAAAATCATGAGTAAAACAATAAACATGCCTATACTAGTCCCTCGTAATAAAAGAAAACAAGTGAATATCAAATTATTTTCTTTGTACACTACAACACTCCTTTAATTGGTGGAGGAGATGGGGAAGGGGGAAGACAAGGGGGCTGTGGGAAGGTTTTTCTTAGCTTCATTGAGAAACTTTGTGTCTAAAAAGATTGTAAGTACTGAAAACAATGTGACTACCAAAAAGTTAAATAGCAAAGTCCAAGGAGGATGACANAAACTTTGTGTCTAAAAAGATTGTAAGTACTGAAAACAATGTGACTACCAATAAGTTAAATAGCATAGTCCAAGGAGGATGACAAGTACAAGATTCCATACAGTAACCGGGATATTTATTTAATATAGTATATGATTATGCAATCACCTTGTTATCTATGCCACGAAATGACGTAGTGTAAGGATTCTTGTCATCAGCCTCATTCGTATGGTTATAGACAACATCCAAAATGACCTGGGGATAGTAAAACCATACAACAATGAGGATTATATACATAATCAGCATGAAGAATTACGAGATGTCGACAGAAACGAATAAGCTTTCAAACTGCAAGTGAGTAAGAAAAATACCTCAATTCCAGCATCATGCAAAGCCTTAACCATTTCTTTCAACTCTCGAGAAGCATTGGAAGGTCCTCCACCATTACTTGCATAACGACTCATAGGAGCAAAGAAATTTATTGTTGAATAACCCCATGTATTGATCTTCATACAATTAGAGTCCCAAGAATCCCTCATCAATAAATCAGTAGAGACTAATGGCACAAAATAATGCCATCGTAGAAAAACTATGCTCAACAGACACAGTATGACTGACACTTTTGCTTTGCAATCAATACATAATTATAGATAATTATATCAGATGCTCTTTTTAGGTAGTACTACCACGGTATGAGGAGCTCATATATTCAGTACAGATCTTAAATTTGAAAATGTACCATGAAGCAGATCTAAGATTCGGAAATGCAATTTTGGTACTTGAGACTAGGCTACCCAATTACAATTATGCCAAGCAACCAGATACCTCTTGCAAATATACAATCAAGCAACAAAAACATATGTACAACAGGAAACTAGTTAATGGTAGTCCCAGTTACAACTACCTTGTTACATTTCCAGTTTTTATGACAGTAATATAATGATTATTCCATTTACAGAATATTCTGCCAAGATATTAAGGGACTGCTGGCATTATGTACACATCTAGTGCTAAAGATTGGTTATTCAAATGACCTAGTGCTTATTAGTTTTAAGTTCTTCTCTTTCAGGGGTAAAGAATGGAGCAGAAATTATATTAATCTATATTGATTTTCTAAATCACAAATGCATGTATAGAACAGTACAGGACTAGGGCTAGAAGAATCTCTAATAGATAGCAATCTCCAAAAAAAATAAAAAATGGGAAACTACTTTAAATTTAAAAATATAATAATAGCATAAAATCTAATCTCTAGCTCATTGAATCCTGTAACTCACTGAAGTTACCTAACAACTCTTCTTTTTCTCCTTTTTTTTTTCCATTTTTTAATTTAAAACAACTCTTAACAGTCAAATATTTCTGTAGGATCTTTTTGAAATTCCATAATATTACTAGGAGTTGTGCATTCCCCTAAAATGTACCCAAAAGCAATACACAAGATGCAACCCCATAGTCCACCAACCCACCAACTGACAAAAGATTCAAAGTCTTCAACACCACCAACCAACCATGTATTCACCACAAATATTTCAGAAATCTCAACTACCAACACACATGCTCATGATCACATGCTAGTGCACAAATGAAGAGGTGGTAATCCCCGAAAATATATGGAAAAAACAGACAGTAATCTTCATGCAAATATCGCTCTATTGGCATCAATAATTTAACTAACCATATGATCCCGCGGATTTGGGCGCCTTTGGAACTCCAATTCATCAAATTCAAAGACCGGCAGCAATTCCACCGCATTGATGCCAAGCTCCAAAAGATGTGGTATCTTCATAGGGAAAGGAATATCAAACAATTTAAAAGATAAAATAAAATTTTTACATATTTTCCTTGACGTATAGCACTTGGAAGAGATGCTGACACTTGACAGGAGACTAGAATAACAGAGCTTCGGAGAAACTAATTTTATACAAGAAAATCATCCTGCTCACACATTTATAACTTTGGAAAACCAAAATAAAAAAGAAACTGCAGGAATATATGCAAAAGTCTAAAAAGGAGAGGACAAAGGAATCCTTCTTAAAGCTTACGTAAAATCCTGTCACTCAGTAAATATTACCTTTTCTATAACACCAAGGTAACTACCACGTATTTTGGAATCCAGACCACTAGATTCATCAGCCGTAAAAGCACGGACATTCATTTCATATATAACAAGATCTTTCTGCAAAACCAGGATCAAAGAAGCCATGGTCAAGAATTAAAAAAAAAACACTTGTAAACAATAAAGGGGAAGCAGTCAAGAAGTTATAATGACATAGCTAAAAGATAGCATGAAAGAACTTAGTTAATGATATTGCACAAAAAATAAAAATGAATTACACAAAAATTAGGAATAAGAATCATTTGATGTTGATAAACGGCTGTTTTAAGCATTAATACAAATATGCTTACAACCAAACCCACCCAGCTTGCCAAAGGCGAATCCAATACATTTTGTCAGTGTGTGCAGCCATTTGCTAAGTCAAAAACATTTTTATTTACAGCAAGAAAACTCTGTCCACAATAACTCCCATAACATTGCCCTGCACCCCTAAAGCTAACCTCAGAAATAAAAAAATAATACACACACACACACATATAGGCATAACCAAAACCATTTGCAACTTTTGCATTCCATAATATGCTTCGTATTATCCACATTTGTTAAAAAGTTATGTAAACCAACTAGAAAACACGATTCTTTGAAGCTCAATTCCTTTTCTTCATCTTAAATTGTTTCTCATTTCTTAACTTTGGCTGAGTTGGGAAACAACGAAAAGATTCAATTTTTTTATGCCTATATCTTGTTAAATAAGGGAGTAGTTGTCCACCTTCATCTCAAAATGGATCCGCCCACCCACGAGTAGAGGTTTCAGATGTATTCCAAAATGGGAACAAGTAATCCAAAAACCAGTAGCTTGACAAGAATACTAAGTAATATTTCACATGGCACAAGTCAAGATAGTGCCTCTTAACCAATTAAAGTTAATTTACCTCAGGGATGTTAGGAAGCACGTAGTTTTCTCCCCAATCAAATGGCAAGCTATCGAAATCATAAGTCCCCAAAAATTGAGAAATCTTATTTCTGGCATCACCAAAAATCCTGCGCCCTTCAATTAGCTTTGCATAAGGATCAAGTAGAATCATGCTGTTATCAAAGCGATGTCCCTGATGCCAATATTTTGGACCATCGATGCGATAACCATATAGGACATTTCTACGAGGCAAATCCTATGACAACAGAAATTCCATATCAATTTGCAATAGATAAGGAAACAGAAAAATGCATAACACCACCACTACTAAAAGATAGGTATTTAAAAAAAAAAAAAAAGATTCTAAACTAAACGCACTAATGTTAGAACCAGACATACAATAAATCAAAGTCATTATAAATGTGATTTTCCCTTGCTTTAATATCAGGAAGTTATATAAAAGACTGACCTACCAAAAGTATTGTATTCGTGATTCCAAGTGAAAGAACGACTTAAAATATTGGATTAACTACTGATTTAGGAACCAAACACGCTTTTAGAGGATTTAGATATAAATGGGGAAAAATGAGAAAGGGAGAGTCTTGGTGCTAGAATCTAAGTGCATTATTAATAACTGTTGCAGTTTAGTTCCTTGTTACATAAATATGCACGAAAAAGGTTAAAAGTTTGATTTGTATTTTTTACTGTTATTAAGGATAAGGCACAGAAAATTGGAAAGCAAAAGAATCAAAATCGCTTGAAGCAAGAATCTTGAATCATATATGAGTTAATAAACTTTTGTTT